ATAGATTTTCCACTTCTTTTCCCTGTTTCATACATAAACAAATTTTTCATTTGTATGCATATTAAAAACATAAACAATAGAAGAATCACAACCTTGAAATATAAAAAATTTTCATGCTGTCATGTATTTTCATTCACTTTGATGTAGAACTTCCACGATTGATTTTCCCCTTCCTTTTCTGTTCTAGATAAAACAAATTTGTAAACTTTAATATCTTATGGACGCAAAATGCAATAGAATTTTAATTTATTGATAGAATTTTTGTGTTTCACGTACGATAGATATTTTGAATAATTTTGTAATTAATTGGCACCTATGTGTACACGAAAATGAATATAAATACGATTGAAATACTAAACCAAATTCTAAATTACATAAACAATGTTACGCGTAAACGTATATCCATTTGCTCTCTCTCTCTCTCTCTCTCTCTCTCTCTCTCTCTCTCTCTCTCTCGTTCCAATTTTCTTAATATTCTTATCTGCATATTTCAAAATATGTACATATGGTTCATACCTTCAATTCTGTATGTTAACTGTACATATGTCTATAGTTTAATTTCAATCGCAAATATTTTCGGAACTTTTAGTAATATACATTTCATTTGACACCTTTTTTTTTAGCAATTTTAATATTGTTCTCCATTTCTATATTATACTTTTTCTGACGGTCCTGCATCATTGAATCACGTGCCATAGCAATCTCATCTTCTAGAAACCACTTAAGGGGACCCTTACAACGTTTACAGATCATCGGTTCTCCCAACTTTTTCTCATTATCGTCTCTTTCATTGCGATTCCATCCTTTTCGTTGATTATTTGGATCATCATAACCACCTCGCTGCCGACCACGCGGTCGTCCTCGATGTCCTAAACGATGAGAACTCTTTTGATTGATACGTTGAGGGGACGTTGAAATTGCGTTAATTTCTTGAAAACGAAATTTTATATTAGGTCCTTCTCCAGTTAAATTGTGTTTAGAGAAGAGTGAATCTAGATTATTATCTATATCTAATTTTGGATCGTGGTCTTTTATGTCACAACAAAATCCATAGGGTTTTAGCCGAAGGTTAGATTGTGAGGTACCAACATGGTGTTGGTGTCTCGCATTTTTTCCCATTCTGTAACGGTGTGTTTGACATTTTTAGATTTTAAATTCCAAGAGAAAGTATCGCATGTCGCCGAGAAAAAAAAGACGTTTTCTTATATCAAAATTTCTACATATGCATATGCATACATACGTACATGTGCACCGTGCGCGCGCGCGCGCGCGCGTGTGTGTACCAAAATTATGTTACTTCCGGGAAATGAGAGGTTCCCGATTTCCTCAGATCATTTGAAGTAACTTTTCTGACCAATGAGAGAGGAGCTCGAAAACATTAGTTTTGACGAAAAACTAAATCAAGGGTATCGAATTATTCAGGAGAATTTACTTACTTACAAAAACAAATGAGAATATTGTCAAACATAATTCATTACTCTTTGAAGTTTGATCAATTATTTTGCCAACTATGTATGCATAATTATATTTTGTGTTGATGTCACCGTTTGGGTTTCTTACAATGCGCGTCGATGTAGCAGGTTCTTCTGAACAGTTCTGTGTCCTTGGTTTAGACGACTCTACCTTCTACATATTTAGACGATTGCGGCGCCTCTTTTGGAGAAAAAATGAAACTCCGCGTTTGATGTTCGTACATCGTTAATTGGGATAGTGGCAAAACGCTCAAACCGTTAGGTAAATTACCGACAGTCGATTTAGGCTAACAGTTTGAGCATGTCGTCGCTAAATGAAGCTTCTTACCTATGGACTATATATAGCTCTTAGATTCCGTTTATAATCTTTACGTAAATGAAGTTTATTATAACAAAAGATGGAGCTTTTCGATTTTGTCGCTAGAGGTGTATGTACCGACATTTGATAAAAGCACTGTGCTTAATAATTCGAGTGTATTAAATTGCTCGTAGATGGCGTGTCACAATCGAGACGGTATCCGGAATCGAAGAATTGAACAGTGGTGTAGAAAACATCGAGGAACGAAGGAACGCGCGCCTTCGGCGATTGTCTCTTTCATCGGCAAGTTTCGCACAAGACGGTACGTTCGTTACTCCAACCTACATTTCGTTAACAAATTAACTGTAGTTGTAGTGCGACTACAACATTTTCGTTATGTAACCGGTTACTCCGAACATTAGCCTATTATCACTTTTTACACTTAATTTTCAAAAATCGGACTAGCACAGAAAAGTGTGATCAGACAAAAAATCCTCTGATTTTTCGCAATAAACAAACCGTTGGTTGACATTGTTTCGATCTCTTCGGAAACATTTCTTTCTCTCTCTCTCTCTCTCTCTCTCTCTCTCTTTCTCTTTTTTGATTTTGATTTTCATGAAAATCAAGATTCTAGAAACGTTCACGAGTTATAGGACTTTTAGGTTACCACAACCACGCATTCTCTCAACGAATAAGGAAATTTCATATAACATCGTCTAATGGAATCAAATTTCTATCTAATAGTAATACCGAAATGGTAACTGTGATACTGCTAAGTGCTTACGTTTTACTATTTTTATGTGAATGCGAGGGGCGCGGTGTGCTCGTTACGATAAAACAATGTATTTACGCAGTCGGTCGATATTATGGTTACCCTTCGATAACACTTGTGTTTCTTTCCAAAGTGTACTACTGGTTCTGTGTTTCTCTGTGAATTTAATCGATCAATTTTTGCACCCCATCGCAGTGCCGCATCGTGACATTTACAGACCCTACGTATACTTCTCTACCATCCCCACATACCTTATTAGATTTCGTTAACAAGCGACTAACAGTAAGCAAAATGAACATTATGGAACGTTAACGAAATTTACAATAGGAGGTAGTAAATTGGTATGCCATTATTACTGGAAACCGATCACGGTCTATTATTATAATCTTTTTATTTTTCTGGGATACTGTACGAAATGCATATGTTGTACGCTGTAAGAAACTAATTTGTGTATCCAAGGAATGCTAAAGCTAACACAATCGATTACCATGACAATGTTAAGCTTAACTACGTATCTCCAGAAAGACGAGTGTGTTTTCTATCTCCCCCAGAAAGTAGTACATAAATATGAAAATCGACACCCAAGCTTGTAACTTGACACGAAGATTATTTTCAGGGTTTTCGAACCCGATTTATATCACGCGTCGTTACATAAAGATGTTGAAATTTTTAAAATATAGAATACACTGTCAAACATCACCGTATAAAACAATGATAACATAAAATAAACGTAAAATCGACTTCTCTTTCACTCGATTTCGTCGCGAGTGTTGATAATTCATATATTTGTTATGGCGTTTGTAACCTCGATGTACAATGAGCGTCATAGATCGCGAGTGGAATAAGGGAAAATCGATCCACGTATATGCTCGATCCATCGACAGAAAATAATAAACTCGTGCGATCCAGATTCGACGGTCACCAATTATTTACCGTCTATATTCGCGAATGAAATGTAACCATACCGACAATACCGAAACCAGAAAATGCGAGAGCTTCAAATTAATCGATCAACGATCATTTAATTAATAGTTCACCCTGCATGTCTTTCAATGTCGCTTGCTCTTCAGCTTTATATATATAAATTCAATCTTTGTTCTTTACATAACAAATACATAATAGGGCGTCTCTTCGTTTTCAGAGTACGGAGCCAAAGCCGCGCTGTAGAGATGAATCCGACGCCTGCCGCTCTTTACGCTCTCCGACTATCGTATCATCAGGTACAGCAAATAGATTCTTGCTGCAACGAACACGTTCTTTCCAGCAACGAATAGAGCACGGCACCGATTAAAAGGCACACGAATTACAGAGAAATAAAATTTTTCAAATTGTACAACGAAAACTGCACTTTGCAATGTGGTGCCACGGTTGTCACGGCCCTGGCAAACGTGTTACGTAACGCCATACATATGTACACATTATGTACCAAGTGGCGCCTCAAAATTTGCGTCGCATTGTCGCTGCAATTTCTGGAATTTTTTCTAGCCTTGAGCAATTGCAGCGCAGATGTTGCATTACAAATCGCAAATAAATTAATTGCGAACAATATAGTTACACGAGGCGGTAACAAATTGCTTGCCTTTACAAGTATCAACCCTCCGCCTTAACCGACAGATGTAGGCTCTTCGGATGCGGTATCGAATGGCTTTATGCTTTTAGCTGTTCTTTAAATTTATATCGCTGAATTTCTATTAAATATTCATCATTTTTCAGGGAGCCGTACATTCCGCGCTTCGTAGAAACATGGTGGATAGCAACGTCCCTAAATCTGCGGTCGTCCTTGCCACGGTAGGCCTGTCCATGAGCATGTTCTCCGTGAAAAAGATGCTATCCTCGAAGCCTCGTGGCCGCCTATAATGGTCTTCCACGATTAGACAGCAGCAAGTTCGCAAGGGAAGAGGAGAGGAGAGGAGAGGAGAGGAACGCGATTAAACATGGTTCATCGAATTCGAATATCTCATTCGACACAATCACAACGGAAGCCCGTCGTTGCATAGCGAAACCACCCACGCTCCCCGTTCTTGTATTTGTTTGCAATCAATCCTGAAATCACTGTTTATTCGTTCACTCGATAAGGTACTAGTCGTAGTCGATGTTAGTTATTAAACCGAGACTGTGGTTCACAAAACTAAGAATGTTAACGAGTCCGGCACGGAACATAGCATTGTCACCGTAGTGCCGAAGTAATTAAGGCAGTTAACACATTGTTGACCGGCAATTTTGTAACGTCTGGGCATAAGAACACGAGTTAACTAGTGACCGGTCATCAATGTGTTAAAACGACTGTCCAGGAGCGTGAAAACGAAGTTTCACCGGAGTGATGCGAATCGTCGATCGTTTCACATTGTTCGAGAAGAATTCCTGTCTGAAATTCAACTCGAAGAGCGACCTCGATCGGCGGGTGATTTCGTCGGTGAATCTATGAAGAGAATGGGTGCGATTCGAAGGTCTACAGATGGTTGGTGGTAATTCGTTTTAAGAATGCTCCACCAATCACCTGGCCCGTCTTGATCGTTGCTGCGAGACTGTGCCACAGGATATGTTCGCGACGCTGTCTCCTGTAACCATGGATTATACTCGTAGTCGATCATACAATTTTTTAGTCACACCAAACCAGCACGATCTTTTTAGTTATTTTTACTTTCTACCCGATTCCTCGATCCCCTGCTGTGGACACGGTGGTATCCTTTTAGACTTGCTTGTAAACTTGAACCATCATCGCGCGGGAGAGGTGACACTCGCGAGCTCCAAATTGTTCAACTAGAGTGGAAATAAGTGAAAAACTTACAAGGGCTAAGGAGATATTTTAGGAAATATACATATATCGACTTATTCGTAGGTTATCGTCCCTTTAAGAGCTATGCAACTCTTCCCTTGTAAGCGGTAACAACTGTGGTAGCCTTGCAGGAAGGTGTGTCGTGTATCGCCGCCATCGGACTGCGGATTTTCATGAAAACTCTTATTTTTCAGAATAACGTTAGCGAAGGTTGAACTTCAACGTGTAGGGAAAATTGTGATCGGAGTTTTATAGCGGTGCAGGGAGTGCGATCTCCAATTTCTAAAAATGATAGATTAATCGTTCGCTGTTGTTAAGACTAACAGTTTTTATTCGAAAGCAAGAGAATTCCACTTTTTACATCCCCAGGAAATTGCTCCCACAATTTACGAAACGCAATTGAAAACTTACGAAACAGCATGGACCACATCCTGTGTTTCTTGTAGCAACTAGACCCGTTGCGTGCAGACGCGGAGATCTGCGGTTCGTCGATCTTTCGCGTATGGAATACTCGTATACAGTCGTAACATATTGAACTTAGAATTAGAATCACGTTCGTACGATAGAGTGACTTGCGGTCGATCAACGAAGAGCGGTAGAATCATTTTTATTGGACTTAATGTGTACATTTATTTATAATTATTATACAGTCTCACACTCGATATCTCTTGTCGTAACATGTCTATATTCTCCCGCACTCGCTCCCTTTCAAGCTCTCGATTTCGTCTCGTATTCTCAGAAGAGGTCTCTCGCTCGCGTCGGGGGAACGTCAACGTAAGCGACGACGCCCGTCTTGTCCGTTAAAAATCAATTTTCACGTTTCGTTATCGTTTTGTAAAAAAATATCGGAGTTTTTTTCAAACGGATCTCGTCCGGCCCGGTCGACGTTCCCGGCTAGCGTGCGCACGGCTAGTTCGCACACAAGATATAGATATATGCGGTATGTATACGTATAGGTAGCTATAGAATGAAAGAATCGATAATCGTCGGACCGCTCGATTCGACAGATATATTCGGCTGTTAAAACATGTATCTAAAAATATATCTGAAAAGATAAAAATGTATCTGAAAAGAGGAAAACGTAACGAAAATGAATACGATA